TTTTCGTATTTTTTTTTTAATTTTTTAATTTTAAAATTTACGATTTTTGATTGGCTATCCACTTCTCGGAGATTTTCATGAATGATCTGCAATTTGTGTAACCGATAACTGTCTCCCCTCGACTACAAAATAGCAACATGTTATAATCAAAACAAAAACAATGCGTCGAAACTTACTATCATTAATGTTGGGGTTAGAGCCATAGTTAAGGTTCGGGTAGGGCAAAGTATATAGTAAAATTCTGCAAGAAATTTTTTTTGTTAAAATGCAAAATGTGGTTTCATAGATGGGATTTCGAGATAACGGTGATTTTTAAAAAAATCAAAGTTTTTACATTTTTCACGTAGGGATTGGAACCGTTTAACCGTTTAAAAATTTCCATAATTCCAGGCAGAATTATGTTGGTCGTGAGCCGAAATTATCTTAACGCCGGCCAAATTAAACGGTTAAACTAAGAAAAATTTTAGGCGGTTCCAATTCCTATTTTCACGTTACACATGATCCTGTGATCTAATTGGTCGATCACACTCCGGGACTGTCACCGCCGGCGACAAATAGATTCGCTCTTTTTTTTAATGTTTAAAGCCTTTAGATGTTCTACATTGTATATTTCGTATATTTTTATCTAACTCATAATTTGCAGCATAACTCAAAGTTTTATTGTAAATCACCAAATTCTCTGGTTCCATCCTCGAACAATGCCCAAACACCACCATCACTTTCGTAACTTATGTAAGTTATCAACATATGTTTGCGTCATATATCAAAATTTTAACCATTACAGTTGATGTAAAGCTATTTTGTAACTTACATATAGGCCGGATAAGTTATAGTGTAACTTACATGCAGAGTTGTAAAATTACCATGATAAAAAATTTTAATTGGCCAAGATTATACATATGGGCTTGGTGCTACAGAAAAGAGGGAAATTGACAAATTTTTTAAAATTAATTTTTTTACATAAATTAATTTAAAATACAATCAGGATCATTTTTTATTTAAAATACAAAAGTAGTTGTATTAATAAAATTTTGCAGTATAACTTTTTAAAATTTATATTTTCTTATAGCTTATTATAAAATTTATAGCATAAAAATTGATTTTCCGAAGATCTTTTTTTATGTTGATTTCCCCCTTTTCTGTAGCACCTAGCCCATATGATCGGCCAAAGATTATACAAATGATTACCAAGATTTAATAGAAAAGTTGACTATACATATCGATATAAATTAATGCCAGCCAAAATTAAGCTTAACTCCGCAGCAATTTTGTAACTTACCAGTAACTTACTATCAGTAAGTTTACATTTATAACCCTGCTTACATGTAAATTACATCGTTAGGTATGTTTTAACAACCCTATTCGCGTAAATCAAATTATAAAGCAGACAGAATTTGTGGTCTATCGCAGCAGAGAATAAGAATTCCTAGTCCGGAATTTTGGCCGTCTGTCCGCCCATGTGACCAATCATAGAAATGATTGTCCAATTTTTTTAATTCGTCCGGATTTACAACAGCACCTGTATATATTCCGTATTCATTATGTACATGTCGGTTATTAAAGATGTTAAACTGGTCTAACCGTCTTAAAACCAGCCTGAAACTTAAAAATCAGTCTGCTTTCAGTCTTAAGACCAAACAATCTAATATGTCTAAACAATTTAAATTAATAAAGACAGTAACGTTCCTAATTCGTTATATCCATAGTTGACTGTAATCATCCGTCTTAATATATGAATATCCATTTATAAAGTTCATTCCTGATTAAATGCGCATATATTGCATATTTATTAACATTAATTTAACAAATTTGATTGGTTTTTGTGTTTGGCATTATTGATCGAAAAATGGGACATATATTTGGGTTTTAGCTATGAACCCAAATTAAGTAGAAAGTCCGATTTCCAAACTCAAACTATGTAGTTCCAAAAAATGGATTGGGACACAACCCTAATTTGAATCTTCATCTTCAATTATAGGATTAGTATCTTCAGGAAGTTCTTCATCTATTGCAGCATCGGATATGGGTTCTTCTATCTCTTCAATAACTCTCAAGTTTAATTCTTCAATTGCTTACATTAAAATAATGAAATAAAAACATTATGGTTTGTTCTTGCCACGTAAAAATTTAATAAGGCTATAATTAGTAACTTACCAACTGGGATGCGAGTATCTAATGCATTATTAACACGCACAGGGTTATTCTTTCTTTCCTTTTTATATTTGTTCTTTATCTGATCACGTGTTTTGGTGTTAAGGAATGACTTTGCTGCAATTATCTCAAAATCAGTTCCCCACTGTGACAATGACTATAAATAATGATTAAAATCAAATATTTTGTCACTAAAATGAAAAAATAAAGAAATAAATAGTAAAGTTTACTTTGTAAAATAACTCAGTCTCTTCTGTTGTCCATCTTTCATTTCTCCGAGGTTTTTTGGCATAGGATCCAGAGTTTACCATGTGCGAAAACTTATCCTCTTCTATGACCTCCATGTCTTCACCACTTATACCCTCTCGTCGTTCTTTGGGCTCTTCACGCATAGTATATTGTCCATCATCATTAATAAATCGACTACCACGATTCTTAAATATGCGCCTAAAAAAATTTTTTTTTTAAAAAAAAAAAGAATAAAATATTAATCAGAAAAGAAAATGTATATAATATTTACCTTTTCATAATAATTGGTCTAGTACTTTCATCATCATGACTTGATTCAGCATCATTTTCTTGCTGATTATTTTCATCCGCTAAATCATCTAATATGATTTCTTGATCATAATCATCGGTTTCTTGTTGAGACACTTCCAATTCATAAACCTCTTCAGCATTAGCCTCTTCAGCATAAGTCTCTTCCAATTCATAAACCTCTTCAGCATTAGCCTCTTCAGCATTAGTCTCTTCAGAATTAGCCTCTTCAGCATTAGCTTGTTCAGCTTGTTCAGCATTGGCCTCTTCAGCATTACTTCTATTTTCTTCTTCAACTTCACCTATATCTTTACTATTGATAGAATTGTTTTTTTTTGCGCGTTTAACACGTTTAAGTTGAAGTTTCTTATATTTGGCAAGTTCTAGTTCTTTAAACGTATTTGATTTTCTTCCTCTTTTAAGATCTTTGCATAATTCTGCGATCGTAATAATAGAATCATCATGAGGAATTTCTTCCTCCGGGTCATCCTCCCACGGTCGCACTCGTTTTTTATTGACAGGCTTACGTTGTCTTGCCGCTTTTCGTTTCTTGGTGGTTAGCATAATAAAAAAATACTCTCATATTTGTGAAACGGGGCTTTGCTAGCGTTGCTGGCTTTCATTGTGATTGGCTAATTTTTGCGTCGGAGATTAGAAGTCTGCAAATTTGTGTCCCGGCCCGGCCCGCTTTTAATTTACTGCTACATATTATTATCGTTATTATCGACAACTGGAACTAGGGTAAGTTTCGGCAAACTTGATTTCATGTAATTTGTAAGAAATTCCATGTGATTACCTGGTTATTCAATAATACTTCATAGTGTTGCGCACAGCAGTACAGCAGTAAGGGCTTTACTTATTTGTGCCTGTAATACAAACTCCTAAAAAGGTAATAGCCAATAAACAAAATTGATCCTATTAATAAATTCGAAGGTTTTTTAAAACTTCTAGCGATGATTTCTCAATAACTGTTTGATCAAATTCAGTAAAAATTTTTTTATTTTAATTCAGAAATTCTATAATCAAAAGAAAAAAGTTTATTGAATTTGATTTAGTAGTTGTCGAAAAATCATCGCTAAAAGTTTTAAAAACACATAAAAAATCGGAAAAAAAATCAAAATCGGGTAAATTTTCCTTTCTTTGAACTTTAAACAAAGATTCCTTGACAACTAAATATTCGAATTTGATGAAACTTTTTATTTTAATTCTAGGGATTCATAGAATTAAAATAAAAAAATTTATATCGAATTTGAATAGCTGATTGTCGATTAAAATTAAAAAAAATTTAACCACAACTTCTTTTTTAAAAATATCTTAACTTTGAACAAAAATTATCGACACTTACCTGGTCAAATTCAATCAAAATTTTATTATTATTATTTTTTTTTGATTTTAAGGTGACTTTTTTGTTACACTGCTCTTTATTTGAATATTAGTAGTATTTTTAACCGTCAGACACATTTCAATAGTTATACATATTTGTAGAGTACAACTAGCCATATCTGTGCCTTTTGAGTGCCTATTTAAATATCTGCCTATCATTAGGTTCTACACTAGATGCTGTACCTGTACCCCAGCTAAGGAGGTACACATCTAAACCCTCTGTGTCTATGTACCAACTCTTTTATATCCAAGCGATAATATTTAGTACCATCTTATTTTTACATGTTGGTTTAGGGTTTTAAAATGGTTTTTACTATTTTAAGGAGTTCTTTGACCTCAAGGTAAACCTGCTAGAGTTTTTCATACCTACATTTAGGCTAACCTAAACTTTGGTAACTTACACCTAGTCTGAGAATAAGTACTTGCAAGTCAAAGTTGCTACTATTTTCTACTTCTGTTCTTATAGAGTTTACTCATACCTCAGCTTCAGTATTTATTTAATTAGAAAATCCTTTTACTATTTTATCAAACTTCTAATCCAGATAGTACAGTTTGGTTTACAAGTTACATTATCTATTTTTCTATTAGCTTAATCCAGATACCAGCCTGTGTCCTTTTTTTTCAATCGATTTTGGTGGCCTAGTTGATATAGTGCTTGCCAAACACTTGGTTCTCGTTCAGATCTACAGCTTATTGGTTCTCTTCTTAGACTTTCCAAAACCATAAAGAAATGCTATAACAAATTTTTTATTTATACTTTAAATGAAGATTTCTCAATAACCAACTATTCAAATTTAATGAATTTTTTTTTATTTTAATTCTATAATCTCTTAAAATTATATAAAAAAAAGATTGAATTTAGATAGCTAAATGTTGAGAAATATTTATTAAAATTTAATTACAACTTTTTTTTTTATAAGTACCTAAACTTTAAACAAAAATTACTTGGCATTTACCTGATCAAATTTGATCTAAATTTTTTTATTTTAATTCTATATGATCATAGAATTATAATAAAAAAATTTTGGGAGTAGTGACTTAGTAAAATAGTCAAGTTGTTACCTCTCCAAGTGGCACATCCAGAGTTCAATTCTTTCTAATAACAAAAAATCAAATTCTTTTGTGTAATAGTAACTATTTAGATATTGGGATATAAATCTTGTAACAACAGTCAGACTAAAT